TTATATGTATATATATATATATATATGAAGATGTATCAAAAATATGGAAACAGTTGAATATCTCAAAGCAAAATCTTCTTAAGAAAAATGTTTCAGACAAAAGTTGTAGAACTTAAAAAGATCTATTCACTGATTACATCCCTTTGACCTTGGATTGCATTGCCAATACCAGTTTTCTACTGTTTCCATACTTTTGACACACCCTGTGTGTGTATATATTGTGTATATATATATATTTTTTTAGTAGATGTATGTAATATAATTAACATTAAACTCTGCTTCCTTAGAACAAGAAAGTCTGATAGCCCAAACAGATTTAGAGAAGGTCCTGTAACCAGATTATGTGGAAATGTAGTTGAAAAAACTGAAAAGCCCAAAGTAGAGCAAGAGGAGGCAGATGATGTTAGCTCACACGAAAGTGAAAAACCAGATAACAATGACAATTCTGAAAATGAAGACGTAAGCAAATTTTTGTATCTCATTTTCCTATCGTCGAATGATGATCTGTAAATTTATGTATCTTTTATTTATGTTATTTTTAGGGATTTGAGGATATGTATACGCGCATTAAGAGGACAAGACGTACGACTCAACGACAACTGCCAAGAGGTAAGTAGAAGATTTAGATTTGCCGGCACTACAGTATAATGCACGCGTATTTAATTTCTTTCAAAATATAACATGATTTATTTATGTATTTATACACTTATTTATATATGCAGTGGTGGATAGTGATTTAAGCGAATCTTCGGATTCTCCTGGGCCTAGGAAGTATAGTTTACGTCAAAAAAAGCCTACTGTAGATAGGTTTCAAGCTAATGTAGAACCAGTTAGGCGTTCTATTAGAGCCCTTAGAAGTGTCCTCAGCAATTCGATGAGAAGAAGGAAGCATAGAAGTAAGAGTACAAGTTCTGCTGATTCCAGTGACTCTGAGCCTCAGCGTTATGACAAAAAGAAAGTAAAAAAAGCAAGGTATTTATCAGGAAAAAAATTGTTGTTATGCAATGTTTTTTATTAATCCTTACCATGTAAACGCTTTTGTAGTACCTATTTCGTATAAATGGCAGTTAATATCCGGTGTGTTTTTTTAATGGATTAAATGTTCAAAAAATATTAAAAATATTTAAATACAAGGACTCTTAATATAAAAATGACAGTTGTGTAATATAAGAGGACTAATAAGAGTCAAATAAATAATTCGTCAAAATTTCAAATAAAGTGACGAGCTACATTCTGATTGTAAATTTTACTTTAATAAGTTGACAACTTGATATTACATTACACAACGTGTGCATTACATGTTTCGGCTATATGATTCAGTCCTCTTTGGATGCTCAAATAAACTTATATAACAAAAATCTACCTTATTATATTATAAAACGCAATATCGATATAAAATTAAGTTATATTTCGAAGAAAAAAGATACGATGGACATTCTGGACAAGATAAAATCGTCTTTATTCAACAAACGATTGAAACTGTGTTTTACCATGTTCTGATGGGAGAGAAGAGAGAAAAAAAATTTATTTTATATAATTTAAGTAAAGAATGAAGCATTCCATAAAACATGTCTAGCTGTTAAAAAACTCTATTGTCCATAACATATAAATAGTAAATAGAACGTCAAAGGTCATCATCTCGCAAATGCAATTGAAGTCAAGAAAGATGGTCACATAATTGTACAATGCCAAAAATTAAAAAAGAAATTTGATTATCATTGTGAACTAGACATGTCTAATTCTTATGATTGTCGCTACAATATTGCAATACTACACTGATGTGTAGGTTTCGGAAGCACCCTGTACATGCAGCGGCAGTTTTGTTTAATATCTAATATCATAGCACGCGCGTACGTCACATGGACAGATAACTTTATAATCAACGCTTATGATTAGTTAAACTTTAAACGTTTGTACTTAAAAAATTACTTTATACCGAAAAAATTGCTTGCATTTTTATTATTTAATTTTTTTTTTTAAATTACTTTACGGAAAAAATTGACTTACAATTTTATTATTTAATTTTTTACGAAGTTTCACGCTACAGTAAAATTATCCTCAAATTACACTCTACATATATACACGAGGTCTGGATACACCCAAGAGTACCCAACCTTTGCATATATTTTTGGCAATCTACTTTCTTTATTATAGAAAATAGGCATTCAGGATTTAGGAAGGTAGAGAAAAGGATCTTCAGGAGTAGCCTAATCAAACGGAACGATCCAATAGATGTTTAATTGGCAACGATACGCAGATGTGTAAGCGTCAAAAATTCCAAGTGTCGCATTTAGTTTTTTGCTCTTTAACGCGGTTTTTTCAACCAGAAGAAAATAACCAAATATTACACAGGATTATATCTAGTACATACGAAGATCGACAAAGTTGGACAACGCCGTGTTTAGTAAAAAAAACCTTGAATCAGATAAGATGACCGACTCGCTCGATCATTGTGAAATGCGACGCTTACAACTACTTACTATTGCCGATTAAACTGTTGGGTCATGCCGTTTGGCGAAGATATTCCTCAAGATTCCCCTAAATACTAAGTGTCTGTTTTCCAAAATAGAGAGAGGGATGTCTAAGAATAAAAATATGCGCAGAGGTCAAATACTTTTGAGAGACTTCATATATGTTTTACTTGTCAAAATAATCAACAAACACAGAAAAATTGTTCTTATACAAATATGCGTTGCATATAAATGCTGAGAATCAATTTTGTTAGGACAAAATAACCGCTGCTTAGCAAGAAAAAATGATGCACACTACCGGGTTTTCATTGACACTTTTCCCCACAAGTTTTTTTTAGGAGCACAACGCCTACACCCATTTGTTTTCAAAATATTCATAATTTAAAAAATCACCTAAACAAATGACCTCCGTTCACATGCTGAGGATTAATAAAAATATCGATTATTTTCTGCAGACAATCGGCTATACCACAAGGCGGTCCACCAGATCGAAAAGCTGACATAAATCCCATCACTTTAGACACTAACATTAGATTTAATGACGTCGGAGGTCTGGAAACCCACATTCACTGCCTTAAGGAGATGGTCATCTTTCCTATGATGTATCCAGACGTTTTTGAGAGATATGATGTTACCCCACCGAAGGGTGTATTGTTCCATGGTCCGCCAGGTATGTACAGAAACAAACCTATTGTTTTAAAGTGCAATATAATAAAAATTTATTTTAATTCTTGTTTGTTTAACATGGACATTTATTTTAGGGACTGGAAAGACATTAATAGCTAGAGCACTAGCAAATGAATGCAGTCAAGGCAATAAGAAGATGGCATTTTTCATGAGGAAAGGAGCAGACTGTCTATCAAAGTGGGTTGGGGAATCAGAACGACAATTGAGATTATTATTTGAACAGGCTCAACAAATGAAACCGTCCATAATATTTTTTGACGAAATAGATGGTCTGGCACCTGTTAGAAGTACCAAGCAGGATCAGATACATGCTAGTATCGTATCCACGCTCTTAGCACTTATGGATGGTCTCAGTGATAGGGGACAGGTAATAAAAATGTTCTTCGATGGCGCTACTTCTTGTTCAATTTTCATTTCGAACAACTTTTGTTTTTTCTAAAACTTATGCATTGTTGCTGAGCTTTCCATCATCTCAGAAATGATATTAGAAGATTAATACACTAAATACTTTTGATAGAAATTTTTATCTTTTCCTTTTTATTTGTTAAAGGTTATAGTTATCGGTGCAACGAACAGAATTGATGCAATCGATCCAGCTCTGCGAAGACCCGGCCGTTTTGATCGCGAACTCTTCTTTCCCTTACCGGCTATGAAAGAAAGATTAGAAATTTTGAAAATTCATGTTAGTAAATGGAAAAATCCACCATCTGATCAATTATTGGAGATACTGGCGGAAAAAGCAACTGGTTATTGCGGCTCAGATTTGAGAGCTTTGTGTACTGAGGCAGTACTGCAGGGGCTAAGGAGAACTTATCCACAAATTTATATGACAAATGATAGACTATTGCTAGATCCAGAGAGAGTTGAAGTACGTTTAGTATGAAAAGAACAATTACTAATCTTAATCGGAATTTTATTTTAGAAGTTAATATTAACTATATTAATTAACAGGTAAAGAAACGTGACTTTATGCAAGCAAATGCTATGCTTATTCCATCATCACATAGAGTAGCTCCATGTGCAGGAAGAAAATTGCAACCTTTTATGGAACCGCTATTAGCACCTCCATTAAAAGAATTACTTAATTTAATAAGAGGAATATTTCCTCAAGGTGTAAATCCTGCAATGGCAAAGTAATTATATTTTTTACATATACATTACATTTGCACATTATAATCAAATAATAATCAAAATATATTCCTTTAAATTGTTATCGTGGTTTCTTTTTATAGAATGAGAAATGCCAAGGGTATCCATCGCCCAAGATTATTGATCTCAGGTGGTAGTCTATCCGAGGGTCAGGGACCTCATTTAGCTCAAGCATTACTATATTGTATGGAACATTTGCCAGTTCAGATTTTAGATGTCAGCACATTGTTTGCAGAAAGTGCTCGATCGCCGGAAGAAACTTGCGTGCAGGTTGTATTATATAACTTGCTACATTAAACTTAAACATATTTGCTCACAAGTTTCAAAGCTCTAACTTCATAAAAATTGAAAATGATATAATAAAAATAATTTGATTTTAAATATGATATAAATATATATAGATATATTACATATAAATGAAAAATTAAATTATTATTTGTTTTAATTTTTCATTTATATGCGATTTTTTATATTTATTATATTAAAAAAAAGAAGTATTTTAATAGTTGAATATTATTGATAAATATTAATAATTGTATTTTTTTTTAATATTATAGGTATTTAATGAAGCTGTTAGGAACGTACCGTCCATTATTTACATTCGGTCGATTAATCAGTGGTGGCCTCTCGTGCCAGAAACAGTGAAAGCAGTTTTCCTGTGCCGTATCGCAGCATTGGATCCTTCATTACCAATTTTAATTCTCGCAACGAGTGATGCAACGTATCAAGATCTCCCCAATCAACTAAAAAGCTTGTTTAGTGAATTACGTGGAGAGGTGTATTCCATGAAGACTCCTACTACTGAACAAAGAAAAAAATTTTTCCGGCCCATTTTTGTTATTCAGAGTCTAAGACAGCCACAGATCAAAAGCAACAAAATAGAGGTTTTAGAAACACTGCCATTAGCGCCAGATCCATTGCCAAAGAAACTAACGGAAGAGGAGAAGCAGATCATGTACGAGAAAGATGAAATATCTCTGAGAGAATTACGAATTTTCTTGAGAGAAATATGCGCTAAATTAGCGAGAAATCGACAGTAAGTTCGTATAAATTATTTTCAGTTTTTTTTTTCACAGTATATCAGAAGATTTTAATGAAATAATGTGTTTCAGATTTTTCATGTTCACGAAACCGGTGGACACGGAAGAAGTGCCGGATTACAATCTAATAATAAAACAGCCTATGGATTTGGAAACAATGATGACCAAGATTGACATGAACTGCTATCTATGCGCCCGCGAATTTCTTGACGATATTGATCTCATATGTAGAAATGCTCTAGAATATAACCCAGACAGGTCAGTAACTGAATCAGAATGCAATCTTTTTAAAATTTCTCGCCGGTCAAGGAAAACAATCATACGAATCTTTGTGCGAGAATTATATCTCCGTTACAGAAGCAGTTATTGATATTGTGTTATAACATGAAGTTTTTCTCTAGCAATATATACTGTCTTTTTCTATACTGACATTTCATATTGTGTGTTTTCATGTCAGCTTACGTGATAGGCCCTCCCTCGGAATATTAAAGAGGTAGTTGAGCTTTTTGCTGTTTATCCGTAATGCTGTTATCGCTCCGTAGATAATAGTGGTTTTCAATTTAGAGCGCACCATAATCGTTGTTGTTTTGCTAGACACACCATTATGACTAATTCACCACGCATCATTGAAGACCACTCCCATTAGTCATCATGCTTTCTATCAATGGAATGCTAGAATACATTTTTTTTTTTATATGTTAATAACATGTTACGTTCTCTTTCCACAGGGACCCTGCGGATAAATTAATAAGACATCGAGCGTGTTCTTTGCGTGATAACGCTTATGCTTTAATAAAAGCTGAATTGGACTCTGATTTCGAGGACAAGTGTCGCGAAATTTCGAAGACTCGTCGAATTTTAGAAAGCAATTGTGATAATGAAAGAAACAAGAATTCCAAGCTGGAATCTAGTTCCACAAATGAGCGAACGGAAAAGAAGGAGTCTATAAATTCTAGTCATTCTCTCGTTGTGAATGGAAAGAAATTTGGTAGTTCGAGGAAGCGTAAAATACCCGCTTGGGCTCGCGGTTACGTAAAGAAGGTCCATAAGAAGAGGAAAATCGCTTTCGGTGAGAACGCTACTGAAACAGTTGCGAATAAATCGGTAAACAATGAAACTACTACTAGTATTGATTTAGAAAAATTTCAAGAATTTGAAACTGAGGCGAATAATGTTTTAAACGGACATATGGGATTGTTTGATAATACCGATTCCGAGAACGATTCACAAAATGAGAATTCAAAGGGAAGTCAAAACTGCACTGCGACAGATCAACGAATAGATAATCTCGATCAAATGGAAATATGCTTCATAGAGGAAGAGAAGCCAATAGGAAATGGTGATTCGAGTTCGTCATCTCGACGCGAAAGCATGGACGAATTATCTTTTGCTATTGAAAGTGATACTAGCCGGGATAAGATTGAAGAAAACGAGAAAATCGTAGTTGATAAAAGCGAACTTGACAATGCCTGGCATTTTACCGTTGAAATAACAAAAGACTTTCCTGTCGAGGTATTGTGCGATATTTATGTACAACTAAGCAGATGCATTGGAAAATATGCTCAGAAATACGATAGAAAATCACTGCCAAAGGTAAATATACCTTGTATTGTAAAAGCTACAGAAACTATAAAACAATGAAAATACTAGTTAATTCAACTGGATATAAAAAAATGTATGTTAACAAACATCGTTATTTTCAGGACTTGCTCAAGGAAGTGGAAAAATTTACAGAGTACAAGTCACAACGTCAGTAGAGTATAGTGCACAGGTATGAAAGAAAATGCATATTATTACTCGTAACAAAACAAACGTATTACATTATTACGCCATTGTAACACCAGCTACACATCAGATCTTTTTTTGTATATTTATACTGCTCGTAAAGCTGGATACTATCATTGTTGTATCAAATGGAACTTTGGAATCCTATATTTCTTACAATTAGTTATTATACTGCCAATTTTTAGGTGAATAACACAGCATGTATCTGCAAAGCTATTGCATTTGTAAGATAAAAGGCAATTAATTTTAGTTGAACATTAAGTTCCAGATATGTTAGATTGGATTTTGTACATATTCTAAAAATACTGTAACTGTTCAATCCAAGCGATTATTTGATAGTTCATAAACAAAAAATAAGATAAAACCATAAATCTTGATCATGCATATATATGGGGCTGAAATAATAAGAAAGTTAAATTGCCGTTTTTTATTGCTGCCGTTTGTATACATATCTTTTTCATAAAATTAATTTGATTTAATTTAATAAATGGCTTGTGTAAATTTGATTCATTATTATTAGCTTGATGATGATAATATTATTGCGTATTAAGACTCCTACGGATCGATTGTATATATTTGTCGACGTCTCTCACTTTTCGCGTTTTCATCTCACATGAAGAAACGCGCGATTAGGTATGATCAAAGTGAAAATGCGATATCTCTATGTTCTCGGGAATAGAATGAAATATATTACGAGAATAAATTTATTGCAATTTTGAACAAGTAAGACCTTTCGGCTTAATTTCGAGCCATCTTCAGTATGTCTAAATAATTCCATACAGTTGGATCTTTCATGGCGAATTTTTAATATATTTTATGTTAATAATTACGCACATTATTATGTACAATTCATAACAAAGCATAATATAGTATATTTAGGTATGTACTTAACATGTACAATTTTTGAAATGTACTGTCAGGAATATCAAATGGATCTTGAGTTCTCGTAATTGCCTTCTTATTATAATAAATTTAAATTTTTTGCGAATATGGTTATTCTCGTTTTTATCTTCCTCCTTGCAAAGAAGCATAAAAATGTAATTAATTAATTACATAATAAATGCTTCAAATAAGACAAATTTCGAACAATTTCGGCACACTTTGGCATAATTTTTCCAAAATTCTTGCCGAGCAATCTCACATGAGAAATACCGCATTCTCACTATAATGAAAATCAAGTGAGAGCTCATTTTTATCATTCACATTAGGTTTTAAAATACGCAATCGACACTTTTGGGGTGCGTTCGAAAATCTACTTGTCGGGTAGAGTAAGGTTGAATATGGGTAAACATAAAACTCGATCAGAGTAACACTAAGCCCAGATCTACAATAGATTTTTAAGCCTTATGCCATAAAGAATGAGCAAATTATAGTCGATTATTCTCCTATTTAACTGTAATTGGTCAATTTCTTACGGCTTAAGGTTCAAATTATTTATTGTAGATCCGAACTACTTAATAGGCCTTCTACAATCAGCGATAAATCAGAAGAAACTAAAAATTAACGACTGTGATTGGTTCGATTCTAGCTTATGACTTATAATTTATGATCTGTGGCTTATTGTAAAAGGCTCATTAAAGTTCAACGATTTTCCGAACGCATAAGGCTGGGTCCACAACTTCGCTTTAAGAGGCCCTAAGCCGTAAAGCCATAAGAAATTGACGAATCACAGTAGATTATTTTTCTCGCATTCAACTATGATTGGTCAGTTTCTTACGGCTTTACGGCTTAGGGCCTTTTAAAGCGAGATTGTGGACCCAGTCTAAGGTAAAATACTTAAGTAATATAATGGCAGAAATTATGGTTGAAATAGATATTATTTTGCAATGACAGCTAACCATATATTTGAAATATTTTCGAATGTTATGAGAGAAATTGAAAATGCCGAAAGTGACGACGATAATTTTGAAGTGGTTATTTTAATAGAAAATATTCAACGAATTAGAGGAAAACAGAAAACGCCTGCACATATAAAAGATTATATAGAAAATGTAATTCTTCGATATACTAGTCAACAATTTCGGCATCATTTTCGAATGAAACCTGAAATTTTTGAAATTCTCGAAAATCATCTAGGACCATTGTTATCTAATTCTGAAGCCTTAGGACGTCCAGTCATATCTATACGTACACCTATACACGTTTTTTAAATAAAATTTGTAAAAACAACCATAGAAAATAAAAGTTAGTAATTACCATGTGGATCAATTAATAACATAATGGCATTTTGAATAATCAAATCTCCGTTTTCTATACGGTAGGGAATGTATTGCCCTAATCGAATTAATGAGAGCTGTGATGTTCTTAGTCATCTCAGTTCGTTTCATTTTTATATCACTTCGCGCCAAGATAGTAGGACGGTTAAACGAGTTACTCTGTCAATCTCTGAAAATTCGGAAATGAAAAAGCGACCCTGGAATATAATTTAGTGATTTTACTCGATATTTTCGAACGCACCCTTGAGTAGTTATTACAGTCATATTGAACTGTGACGTCGAAAACAGGAAATGATACATTACTTTTTGTACGTGTCATTTGTAAATAAAAACAATTTGGACAAAACGAAATAATAAGATTGTTTTAAAACAATTGTAAAAATGTTATGGGATCTTCCAATGATAGTTCTAAAAAAAAGATTATGGTGTAACCTTTTTTCTTTCCTTCTTGCTATCCATTTGTAAATCTATATTTTTTAGATCTACTTAATTTGTATTCAAACATGATTAGAAGTAACAAAGATGTACATCTTTTAATCTTCGATCTTAACGTTTAATGGGTGCATCCAGAAGCACGACCGCTCATTGAGCGTACAGTGAGCTTTTTTATCTGATTAGCATATTCCATTAGATCTAAAAATATAAACCAAATAGGTACAAGAGCTCACTGAGCGCTCAGTGAGTGGTCGTGTTTCTGGATGCACCCAATGCGTAGTTTAAGGCCGGAATCAGACTACGCATTGAAGATATTGAGATTGAAGATTAAAAATTGAAATTTGACCAATGAGGATAAAGAAATTTTAATTTCTATTATTTTAATTGGCCAAATTTCAATCTTTCAATCGTCAATCTCGATCTTTAACGCGTAGTTTGATTTCAGCCTAATTCCGGCCTAACAAAATTTCAGAAACGATGTTAAACTGTAGGTCCCAAATGATTATACAATCAGCGTATGCATATGAGAAAAGCATCACGCTCGGCCACAAACAATAAGGCTAAGAAGAAGGAGGAATAAGAATAGCCTTCATTCATTTTTACAATATAATTGTTTTAAAGCGATCTTATCATTTTGGTTTTGTCCAAAGGGTCTGTACTTTATTACAAATGGCACGTAATAAAAATTAACGTCATGATTCAATATGGCTGTGGTGACTAGAGAGGAGTCTTAAAACTTTTCAATTTCGAAATTATATCATTTTTATATATCATAATGGATGTGATAAAAATGATAAAACAAATAAGATAAAAGTAGCAAATTGCTAATGTTCTTGCATAATATTCCTTTAGAAAATATGGACTATTATTTTTAAACGTTCGTTCAAAAGATTTCAGATTAAATATAGAAGATCTAATTAAAAACTTATCTGACAATATATAATATGTATAACGCAAGAGGATACAAGTTTTTAATTTAATCTTCAGTCACTTAATATATTATATACACATACTTTATATGTATAAAGACACATTACACATTTTGCAAAGTATATATTTTTCTTTCAAATAGTTACATTATATTAATCGTACAGGGTGAGAAAAAAATACCGGAACTCTGAAATATCTCGAAAAATATATGTTTTGTATAAATTAGAATTATCTGTTCCAGATAAAAGTTATAGGATTTGAAAAGGTTTATCTACCGATCTTATCAGTTTGACTTTGGCGATCCAAGGTACAAACAGATAGACCTCTTTAAACCTTACAACTTTTATCTGAAAGTTTTCTGTAAAACTTAATATCTTTTTGAGATTTTTTGAAGTCCCGGTATTTTTTTCTCACACTGTATAAGAGATAATGAAAACACTAGAATTGGTACATTGTGTACACACACGCACTTAATTATATTTTAATTTAATTTAATCTTTACTAAGTAAAGACATTAATACGGTGATAGAGTGCAAAAAAAAGTTTAGATAGTTTTTTTTTATATTGTTAGACAAGTTTGTCATTTTATTAAATTGCTATTTAGTATTTAGAATTATTTCAGATATTCATTTTTTGAATTTGAATAAAAAATTACAAGCGTAGGAAAAATTGAAACGTGTTTTTCCTTAAATTTGTTATACATACTCTAAATCTTTCTTTTAAAGTGAAATCTCATTCCTAAAGACTGAAAATAAAGCCTTGGAAAAGAGTGAAAATATTTTTACTCTTAAACTAGAGTGGGAGATTTTCACTCTTTACACTCTTTACAGGAATGAGATTTTATTCTTTTAAAGTAAAATTTTACTTTTTTGAAGTGAAGTTACTCTGAGAAACGAAGTCTCACTAAAAAAAGAAATGAGATGTTATTCTTTTAAAATTAATTTTACTCCAAAAAAAGTGAAAATCTGCCACTGTTGTTCAAGAATTAAAAAAATTTCATTTATTTTTGAAAACTGGCTTAATTTTCACTCCAAACAATTTAGAGATTGTGGTTTTTTCTTCGTGTATCAAAATATACCTCGCGAATACAGAATGTATCAATTCAAATTATTACTTATAGGATAAGATGGTATACTTGACGTATAAAAATGATCAAAGCTTATTATCTCAGGAGAAAAAATTCATATACAAAACATTTTAATTTTACATTAAACATTAAATTTTTTAATATTAAATTATAAAAGTTATATTCGATGTCTAAAGAAATATGAAGACTTCTTCTTTACTTAATGGCTTTTTCTTCTCGAAATTGTAAAAAGAGATTGATATAGCTCGACTACGTCTTAATAAAGTCGAAAAATAATATACTGAAGAAATGTGAAGTAGTAGACATATATCTATCTATATAACTATATTGTTTCAAAACTCTGTTATCTTTTTAATTGAATAATTGTTCTAGTTAAATGTGCTTTTTCTTGTGCGACGATAACTTTTGATCCATCCGTATTAATGCAATTCATACGAAATAACTTAAGGTGTATTCGAAATGTGACTAGTAATCTGCAATTTAAATAGACCAAAGTTGTAAAAAGGATAAGGTTTAACTCATTGAAGATGGAAACAGGGAATTTAATATACACACACACACACACACACACACACACACACACAAACTATAAATATGAAATACCTCGATAAAAAAAATATATATATGATGCACTGGCGGCAGTCAGTCATGTTTAGAACGGTTTCGAAGACTCTTAAAAAAGTGAATGATTTTAAAATAACCAAATTAATCGTTCGCGCGTTAGATTCCCAAAAGTGAGCCGCGACAATTATATGGCAAATGTTTAGATTGGGATTTAAATTGACGACAAAAAATTTTTTTAATTTGTCAAAAGAAATAAACATCAAGTTTTAAAATTTTAAATAATAATGGAAGGGAATATAAAACGTTGAGACTTCTAGTCGGTTCTAGGCATTCTTTAATATCTGGCCGTCGCTCTACAAAATATCCCAGGACTATCGCACTTTCTTCTTATTTGATTTTCTTGTTTTATTTTCTCGACCTTTTGATTTTTGTACCTGTTCATAATCCGGAAGTGAAACAAATAAAATTTTTAATAGTTCACAACTTTACTAAAACTAATGTCTTGGTTTAGGGGGGAAAAAAAAAAACTGCCGTTCTTATTATTCAGAAATCCAAATATTCATGTTCGAGAAGAACTGTGACGATTCTGGGAGACTTTGTGTTATATGTATGTACATGTATAAATATTAGCGAATATTTAGGATATAACTTGCCTTCCCCAGATTCGTGTATTGGTTGTGACTTGCTGTAATTGTGAACGATTAGTTACCAGATGAAGTCGTATGCGACGAGACGAAAAACTCGTTTTCACTTAAGCTGTTCCGAACAGCCTGAGAAAAGCAGATTCTCTTCAATAACCGTTTAAACAATACATCGGAGGCAACATACATACAGGGCGCAATCCATCCTTTACTGTTCAAATCATACAATCGAATAGGAGCTATAGTAAATAAACTCTGTCAATAAATCTCTCATGTGATCCACGAGTAATATCTTAGGGATATTATTGTTAAGATGTAACATTTTTTTTTTGCAAGAGCGTGATTTAAGAAGTAATCTACAAATTTTGTTGATAGCATATCCGTTTCTTGCGTCAGGTGATGCATTCGTAGCGGCAAAATTTTTGTAATTAGCATGATAAGAATTCGTTTTATTCGGCGATTGGATCATTCGTCGAAATTCGATTGTATTACTTGCGAAGTTTTTTAGTAAGTAGAATCAAAAAGACTGAGGTTTAAAAAAGGAAAAAAGGAAAAAGAAACGCTCGCTTTTCCCAGCGTTCGTATTATGCATACGACGTATACATACATTCTCGATCCTCAGCCTCGTTTGAAAACGAAGAAGGATGAAAAGAAAGGAAAAAGAAGAATTGCTTCATGTGAATTATCATCGATTCTCTTTCGACGGGGATCGTACGAGAATCCGGTATTTGCCAAAGAAGCTAACGACAGATAATGCATTAGCAAAACCTCACACCTGCATATACATAATTATAACTGTTGCAAAGTGTTCAGATAAAATATGGAAGTTACGCCGTTAAACTCGCAGTCGGACGGATATGTATATATGATTTTTTTCTTCTAGCGATCACAGATTTACATTCCGCACTCGAAGTCACGAATCCGAATGAGACGGTTGTTCTGCGATTACGTTCTTGGTGCTCGTCGGTATGCCGTCGTTTTCACAATACCATCGCATGAAATCCGTATTATACGTATATATATATATATGATATAAACAATGTATGCACTATCGAAAAGCTATCTTGTAAACACTGCCGATTACGGACGAGTCACCATACTACCATCTGTGTTTCTCTTTTTCTTTCTATCTCTTTCTTTCTTCGAATATAACGTCCCTTAAGACTACTCTCTACGAAGAATGATGAAGTATTAACACGCTCGGGCTCGAGCTGTAGCATATCAAGTATCTGGCAATTTTTTCTACTGAACAATGAATGCACGCAGAGTAGATGGTAGCCTTAAGAATTTAGGCGCATACACGATGAAGTTGTAAAAGACGGACGAAAAGCGACGAGATGCATCCACTGCCTTATTTATTTTATCATATAAGTAATACATTTTATTGTCATATATTATAGTGAAATAAAGATTTCGTAATGTAACCGATTAATGGCGTTTTATTCGCATTCCTCTCTGTCCGTTCCTTTATTTTATTTCATTAGGAAGGACTGAAACACACGAGCGTCGTATCGATACGAGAATCGATCCATGCAACTTTCCGTCTGTTAGCTGACGATAATGTCAGGAATAATGTTGAAATTGAGTAGTAGGTTCTCATAACACTCTGAATAACACTTGTGTAAAAATTCCAGTGACAATACTGATCGTAAGATTACCTCAGGATGCACGAATAAATCGTGGATTTCCACCGAGACATCGATGATAGTAATTGACATTTTTATATTGATTATATTGAGTAATTAACATTTTTGTATTGATTATATTGAATTACGTTAATTATACTGAATAATTGATATTTTTATATTGATTATATTGCAACAGAAGTAAACATAGATCGGTTTAGCAGCTGTCCTCGAGTTCTTGAAAAGACAAAAAGATGTCTGGCGCGGTGAAAGATTTCTCCTGCATCGGAGGGTTAGAGAAACATATTAGGATTGTGAAGGAGATGGTTCTATTCCCATTGATGTACGGGGACGTGTACGCTAAATTTAATCTTAGACCGCCACGGGGTTTACTGTTCCACGGTCCTCCAGGTAATGCCAGATGTTTCTTTGTGCAAGATGAATCTCTCTTGCTTTCATTCTTCCCTAGGGACGGGAAAGACTCTCGTAGCCAGCGCATTAGCAACAGAATGCAGCAATTCCGAACGTAAGGTCTCCTTTATCTCGCGCAAAGGTTCTGACTGTCTTAGCAAATGGGTCGGAGAGAGCGAAAAGAAGCTCGAAAAGATTTTCTCTTTGGTCAGTAAAGTTTGGTTCCATGCTCTTATATCATTTTAATCTATTTTAAAGATAAATATTTAAATTTAAGATCAATTTATAATCCTTCAAAACTTGACTATCATAAGCAAATTGTAATGTAAAATTGAAAATTTGCAAAATCATACATATTAATTCAAGGGCCCATATAACACATAAATATCAAATCTTTCCAATACTTAAAAAAATGTTTTCTAAATAAATTAATGCTTTATAAAATATTTTAAAATATTGTTAAAATCTTTAGTAATATATTTTCAAATATTAAAAAAATTATTTTTTTTGAAACATACATTTTCCAGTATTTTTATACAGTTATATCATAGGGAGATTCTCCAGAGATAGTTTTCATAGGAAGTGAGTATCCACTTTTTATCTTTAATTCAAAGAAATTATTTTCTTCTCCAGGCACAACAGACGAAACCGTGTATAATTTTTTTCGACGAAGTCGACGGTCTTGCGCCTGTGAGATCTAGTCGACAGGATTTTGTTCATGCTAGCGTTGTTTCCACCCTCTTGGCTCTGATGGATGGTCTGGACAATAATTCCGAGATCATAGTGATAGGCGCGACTAATAGAATTGATGCGATAGATCCCGCTCTGAGGAGACCCGGCAGATTCGACAAAGAATTGTACTTCCCTCTGCCTTGCTACAGTGCCAGAAAAGAGATACTTTCGGTATCGTTTTGCTATTATAGTAAAAAATATCATAAAAATGTGTATAAGAAAAAAGATAATGATATGAAGAGGAAAACATTAATGTTTTTGTATACAATTAGGTACACATCAAAAGCTGGAAGCAGAAACCGGCACAGAAATTCTTGGCGTATCTGGCATCGAAAACGCTAGGATTCTGTGGCAGCGATCTACAGGCTCTTTGTGCTGAAGCAGTTATGTGCTCGGTTCGCAGAAATTATCCACAGATTTATAATTCCAAGTCTAAGTATCACATCAATGAACGCCATCTCAAAGTAAGACACTTGGTAACAATAAATATTGATTTGATCCTACATAATAAATAAAATACGTTACTTTACAGAAAAAATATGGACCTTATATAGAAATAATTTTTCAATAAAAATATACATATGTTTCATATACAAATATCAGGAAACGCGATAATGTCTTGGCCATGTTCAAAAACTGAAAGACACTACAAGTCTTTATCCCGAGCCACCATAAGTCCATTTTTCGGGGGTGCATAATTACTTAAAATATAAAAAATTTTGAATCGAACGTTATATGTCCTGAAAGGCGGCATTGCCACGAGTAATTTTAGCTAAAAAAATTTTTAATCGATCAAGCCGTTCTGGACATACAAGCGGTATGTCCAGAACCGCTCCGCGCGCAGATCAAATGTCGCTCGAGAGTCGTGCGAGGGGAACAGCGGAATGCGGAGCGATTCAAAAATCGGCCGAAAGTTACATATATTTCATATACGTTCACTTTGAACTGGTACCTTTAATTAATAATATATCAGTTACTTTTCGTGGTAATTTATTATTAGATAAAAAGGTTTATATTTTTTAGTATCTTTTTTTGAACATGGCTTGATCTTTTCATTTTTATGATATGTCATATTATTCTGTACATTTCGTACTATTCTTACGTAAAGTAATAAACGTATCTGTAGGATAAATATTTCTTATCAAGGTGGAAAAGGAAGATTTCTTGAAGGCACGCCAGAACATCGTTCCCGCGTCGCACCGCGTCATCGTTGCCCCGATTAAGAGCTTATCCTTCAGAATCCAACCGTTGTTGCACGAGGATCTGACGGGAATCCTGTCGCGTTTGCAAACGCTCTGTCCAGCCGGCATGCTGACTTCCGACAACATGTAGGTGATATGAAAATATCCAGGGAAGCAAAAATCGAACACTAATAAACATGGGATCGCAGTACAGGTAAGGCCATGTCCAAATCAAGTGCCTGTCCGCGAATTTTGTTGTGCGGTGAAGACGATTCCCACACCCGTCATCTGGGTCCAGCATTACTGCACACCCTGGAACATCTGCCATGTCACATTTTGGACGTTACGACGCTGTTTGAGGAAACGGGCAAGGCGGCGGAAGAAGCTATGATACAAGTAGAAACCACTTGTTTCTTATTTTTGAGCAAAATGTCAAATAAAGTTGTTGTTTTGTTGTGATAACAGAAGATCAAAACCGCGCGACGCACTCTACCAGCGTTACTGTATATGCCTGGGGTCTTGACCTGGTGGGACCTAGTGGATGAGACGGCGAGAGTGGTTTTTACTTCTTTAATGCGTGGTCTCGATCGATCGGTGTACATGCTCGTGCTAATGACCGCTCATTGTCGACATATTAATTTGCCAACGGAGGTTAATATCTCTTTTGTCTTTTCAATACTCTCTTATTTTTTTGAAAATGTTTGATACATTTCTGTCTGCGTTTTGTATATATTCAATACATTAAGGTTTAAAAAATTACAATTCGAAATTGAATATGAGAATAAATCTAACTAAGAAAAATCTTATTTTTGGTCAAAGCGGATCTTAGTACTCAAATGTCATTTCACAGTATAAATTTATATATATACAAATATATAAAATTCTACAAACCACGCCCCGAAATGTTTAGTCTTGAAAATCATTAGCAAGAACTAGAATAGTAATGAATTAAATTGACAAGCGATTTAATAATTTTGATATTTAAGTATTTTATAAGACTTAATAATTTTTAATATTTGATAAAAATATTAATAACTTGATGTTGAGAATCTATAAAAATAATGAGTTTGAAAATCGTAAGAAAGTTTAAACAGTTACCTCGGGATATGAATATGATTTTTTAAGCAAGCATATATATGTATATTCATTAAGATATATATTTTTTTTTCAAAACGGTATATTTAAAAATAGTAGATTGAAAAATTAGAGTGAAAATGAATATTTGTAATCATTTTAGAAAATAGTCAAAATGGATTTAAGCGAATTATCTCTTAAATGACTGATATTTAAATATTGATATATTTTTAATATGCTCATAAGTGCACAATTATTAACCGTTTGCGCCACTTGTCACAGATTGCAGAATTGTATGACGATAATCGCGGCGAAGTATACGAGGTAAAATCGCCTTCGCCTCAAAAGCGACGTTCTTTTTTCAAGCAGTTGTTCAATGGAAAATCCGACAGTCTTTCGGATCGCTCTTCGCAAGGTGATTATTGATACAATATTGATTGAAACAATAACAATGTACAATGTGGTTAATAACATATGAATTTCTAATAAACGCAGCGGATCTGACACCAATCTCGTGCCCGAAGAAGCTCAAGAGCGAGAACAGAAAGTTAAAGAATCACATACATTCTACCGACTCCAGCGGATTGCTAGGTATGTTTCTGAGTACAAGTTTTATGTAAAATATTTACGCATGTTAATGTGCATCGTAATGATCTCTAAGAGATTAGCGCGGCACGCTGCACGACCAGAAAGATGAAAACGCAATCGAAAGCGCGAAATAAGCTCGGAGCAGTACGATCCTCGCACTCGACGTCTTCCAAATCGAGTAATTGCTTTACAATTAATAATCTTATAAGTCCAACCTGTACATGCTCTATTGAAAAAAATTATTACGTCACAAAGTTACATAATGAAATTATTTAATTAAGACAAGTAAATCGTGTAACAAATTGTTCCAAATCAGTACATAATTTTAAATAATGTAATTTTTTAAAAATCACATGATATTAGAAATAATTTCATCCATCATGATTTTATAATGATCCATGTGATATTATAGTTATCGAATTTTAAAGAATTAAATAATAAAAGAAAGAAACATATCATTATGTAACTTTTCAAATTACGTGATATAAAATTTATAAAAAATCACGTACTGATTTGGAACATTCGTTACGTTTTTTTTACTTGACTCAATTACTTGATTTCGTTATGTATCTAATTTTGTAATGTGAAATATATAAAATGAAAAATAAAGGACTCTTTATATAATAATCTAACAAAGAAAGGACAATAAGAATCAGATAGTAAATAAAATAAAATTTGTAATGTGATTTTTTCAATTGGGCGATTTCTTAGAATTGATCGAGTTATTAACACGTGAAATACCTCGCAATGACCCCACCATTGAATATAAAGAATTAGAAAATCGTCCTATAATTTTAATTAAATATCTTATAATTGTTAATACTAATTATAAATAATAAAGAATAATCTATATAATAAATATTAGTAATAAACCCCCTTAATATTCAACAGTATAAATCGCAATGGATTTGCATGCTTTTACGAACTTAATTATTAGGAACGAACATTAAAAGAGAATACAACGCGTCCGGGGAAGGTCCGCCGTCGAAACGGCAAAGATTAACGTCCAGCGCTTCTTCGACCCCATCTAGCACCGAGAAATTGTACAGCTCACAAATTGAGGACTTGGTCGAAACGATTGTCAGATCAACCGATGAGTGGCCGAGTCATCTACTGGAGAGCCTGTTCTCTTCCCTCGAGCTTACAATGGAGAAGAATGGAGATCTATGCACAACGGTGAACGATTACGTTGCTCGTTATGAAGAATTGAAACGAGTTAAAATGCGGATGAAGCAAGATGATGATTAATCATTAATCTGGTCCCTCGTGTAATGTCCAAATTTATCTGTTGTGTTTCACACATTTGTGAAACACGACAGATGAATGGTTATAATGAAAAGTAGAATGTAATATTGTGATGTAATAAATGATGCTGTAACTATTTTATTTTAAAGAATATTTTTTGCACATTTTTTTGCTATTGAATATGTATTCTTAGTATAATTTTCATCATTTTGATGTTACAATTTAATTTTGGTCTTAATTTAATCAATTCTTAAAAGTTAATTGAAGTATAATAAAAAAAATTATGTGATTTAAATTATGTAAATTAAATAAGAAATTTTTATTAAAAAAATTAAATGATTAAATATTTAATAATATTTATCCACATAATACTATACATTTAATTTTATTTAAATTAAAATCGAAAATTAGAATTTATTTATATTTTATTTTTAGTAATTCTGAAATACTTCAAGTTTTACAATTTTTGATGTTAAAATTATTCTTTAAAAAAATATTAGTATTATAATATAACGCAATTATTCGAGTTTTTTCCTTATTTGTACGTCAATTGGCAAATTGTTCTCTGGGGATCGAGTGTGCATTTTCAAATGAGGTGATAATATGATTTATAAAAATGAACAAATTCAATAGAATTTTTCCCAGGGCACAATACATCCGGAGAAGAGAGGGCTTGAAAGCATATCTCCGGTGATCTCCGACCCTCCCATTACAGGTGACTCACGGGTCAGTAGGGTTTTTAGTGAATATGCAACGTCCCATGGCTCTCTCTTTCACGGGAAGACAAAGACACTCTGAACCCCATACTACTTTCTAGCTAGGTCGAATCCGGAGGCGTTTTCCCATGGTGGGATAATTTCCTTTGGGGATCGCCACTCCATGAAAGGGGTTAGAAGATTTTTCCATTTAAAAAAAAAAATAGAAAAGGAGGCACGACACATTGTTCAGGGATTACATACATACGTTCAGATTCTTTCATACTCAAGTGCCATTCAGTTACTACTCCATCCATTTACTGAACGTTGAATAAATATGACGTATAATACCTGGGGAGCATTCGGGTAGAAATACAAATACTTAGGATATGACAAAAGATATAGAAAGAGTCTCATGCTTCGTCTTATTTGTTAGAGATATCGGTACTGAATTTCAAAGAATAGTGGATAGCAATATATTAGCAATAATCCAGGAGTCAATTGTGTAACCAATTTATGAAACGTGCCGGTGTATTCATGTTTATTACCGTTCCTATTTCTTCCTCGATTGTTATTTTATCAAAGCGTACAACACACGATCTCAGAGACAACAATAGTCTAAAATCATGAAAAGTTTTTGACCTGTGTTACATTGACTGCGTTACACTACTGTCAAACTTGAAACGCAATCATAAACTGAAATTGAAATAATAAAAAATTAATTGATCGTGAATTTAATTATGATACTAATAAGCATCTTAAAATACTGCCAAGAATTTATTGCAAAACAATATTTATTATTAAATATTAGCTTACAACTTGGTGTTGGATCTTTATTCAGTCTTCTCATAGTGTAATTCGCATAGATCGAGTTTTGTCGAAGTTTCATAGCATACAGGTGCATACGTACTCCTGATTTTTAGATAATGACCACGGTACGTTCAATCTCTCTGTTCTTATTATAAAGAAAGGTGAGATTCAAAATGTCGGCTATCGAGTTTCAATTTGATTTTCGCAATGGATTGCACATTTACGTTGTGGAATGCAATGAGTTGCAATAGTTCGTAAATTTTTTTATGTTAAGGAAGTTTTTAGAACTTGACGTGACTTCTTTCAGTTGCAACATTGGCACACATTCCATGCGCGTTTGAGGCATCGATTCGATGACCGTCTTTTCTCTCCCTTCATGACTCATAAGAGAGCAAATCGGTTTCTCCTACTTGAGAGGGCTTCTAGTCACAGTAGAGGGGCCCGACGCCCCGACGGCGAGGTCCAGTGAGCTTATCAGTTGACGTACGACTGCTGTGCAATGTTGTGAATCGTGTTTCATCCTGCATCTCGAATACAATCGTGTTTCGCGGCGACAAATAACGTGCTGTATATCAAAGGAAGCGAAGCGGCCTGATCGTTACATATAGTTTAAACCGATGGTGGTATATCATCGGAAATTCACTCCCTTTTCCCCTTTACCCTTTCTCTATCGAGACTTCACCGATTCGTATGTATGCGTGTCGGATGCGTAACCTCGAGTCCTCGACGAGAAGCAACGGGAAAGTCACGCAACAACGACGGTAACACGCGAATGTTTTTATTTGTCACATGCAATATCACTGCGACAGAGAGATCGATTTTTTTAACGCGACTTTAATCATGGTACTTCCTTATTCTTTTATAGAAATTGTTTTACTCGTCGGAAGAGTGTTTATTACGCTTCCGACGACGTAACGGAAAAATTCAAGAAAAGACAGAAATAATGTTTTCAACAAATATTTATTACAAAACATGTAGATTGTTAAAAATCCTAAAATATCGCAATTCTTGCATTGTATTTTTCTTTCCTAAAAAATAGAAGTACTGTGTATACATATATATATATATATGTATGTATCTAAGTGCTAGGGAAAACATTTTGGCTGTAATATTATTTTTATAAAAACTGACATAAAGTACGTAGTGTGCGATATTGACGAAAGCGACGAAAACAGAAGAGAAATTGTGTAAATGAACGAGTTTCTGAAAACAATTCTTTTTTTCTTTTTAGATATCACATATATGGATTCACATGTTCCTTGTAACACAAAAGAAATTGAGCCTAACATGTACATAAACACAAAAATTATCTATTATGTCTATATTTATATTATAGCATATGCATGTAAGTAGAAATGTAATACAAAATAAGATTAATGATATCGTTTAGTTTCAGCGAAACATCTGATTAACATGTCTATTATTACAAAATTATTTGATCGAAAATTAAAAAGAAAAAAATTTAAGTAACATATAACATTTAAACCTATATAGTAAAAGTATTATTCTTCCTTTTATCCCCAATTTAAAAGTTTTCAACTACCAACACTTATAAATTTTAATAGTGTTTTACGAACTTTTTACTAACCTAAGTAAAAGCTAATAACTATGGCAAGATTAACAATTGTGAATTATTCACATTTAAATTTTCAAGCATCACGAAACTTTTTCAAATATTTTTTTATATCTCGGCTACGTCAATTGTAAAATATTGTTATTTAATAATTTCTACAGATATGTTTGGATTTTTTATTTATTATAATAGGCCTAATTTTTTTCTTTACGAATTGAAATTTCATATATCACGCTTATGTTCAATTCATTTGATGAAAGTATCACACAATGCTTTTATTTGTTTAAATTAACTAAAGAAAAAATGTAATAATAAAATGACGGTAGCGGCGAGAAACAAAAAATAATAATAAAAGTTGGCTTCAAATTTAGTTGATTTTATAAATATATAAGTAAATCAATATTTATGTAAAAAAAATATCTAATAACATATTTCTAACCTTCAATTTTAATAAAATTGAAATAATATAAAAGAAAAACAAAAGAAAAAATATATATATATATATATGTTGGCACATTCATTATTTGGCCTTGAAAAGATCTAGGAATCGTGTCTTCAACGTATACTCAACATTAAGTTTTTACCGACACACATTCGGTCTAACATAATAGCTACTTCTAATTGTCTTTCGTTTTGATTCACTGATATACGGTAGCTCGTCCGATTGCTTCTACGTTTCGAAGAAATCCTAGTGTGTATCCCGAGCATATATCCAGTAATCTTCTAAGTTGTTATTAATTTCCGGTAAATCATTGTAGAGTTTGATCCCATAATGCTGCATATCTTCGAAATAAATACCCAGCTTTTTGTCAAACGCATTTGCTAAAAGACGATAATCGCTTTCAGTCACGGTCATAAATGGTGAATAATCAGACGGTTTAAAATTTGTAAACGCGACGTTGCATTTTTCTGAACAAGCACTCGGCTCCAGTTGCGAAGGCAACGTAAATGTGTCGGTTACAGTATTTTGAACTAGCATCTCTCTTTCCATGCGATTGGGTGATTCATGATTGATGTCGCATTGCGTATTTCCTCTTATTATTCGCAGCACTTCCTGCACGTCATCATCAACGTTAGCTTTTTTCTTGATTTTCTCACCAAGTCGAGACAACGAAGGTGACAAAAGCTTTGTCGCGTCTTTATTAAGATCGTAACTCTTTCCATTGTTACTAATTATCTCTACAGAATCTATTAAAGAATTGATCGAGTCATTGGTTTCTTCGACCCCTGTAGCTTTATCAGACCACCTGATGGAATAAGGAGGACATTTGTTGGGCCGAAAGTTTTGTTCAAATGTAGACGTTGGTTCGTCGAACGTCTTCGATTGACAAGCGAGAATAACTTCGCTATCGTCATCATCATCAATTAAAATCTCGTTCTGACAATATACGTTTATCCTTGGCGAATTTTCTTTATCGGGAATGTCGATGTTATCAGAAAAAGATTTGGTAACTACGTCTGTCGCAGTCCCTTGAGAAGCAAGATAACAATGATCTTTGTTCCGTTCGAACGTACCGTCGCTAACAGAAGTTACATCTTTGTGCGGCGTATTCGAGATCTCTACGAGACTCTTCCCCACTTTGACGGTGCGACTCGCTATCGCGTCGCCTTTGGTAGACGCGAATTTACCTACATTGTATCGATTCGCAGCTTCGTGAGACTGTATACCGTCCTGCATGTGACTCTTGTCCATAACATGGTTCGGAAGAGACAAATCGATATTTCCAACGCAGTCATCCTGACGTCTTTTATTTTTGAGGGAGTCTGAAGTTGTTTCGCAAACATCGACGAAACATTCGAGACTGCTCGACATTTCTATGTATCTCCGATTTAGAATCACGTCCGTTGTCGTCACACCGTTGAGTTTGAATTTTATGCGTACCGTATTCTTCCGGCGTATTTTCCCTCTGTTTTTCAACATATGCCTGTGTACCAGTCGCTTGTGGATTCTCAGATCCGAAACGATCCTGAAGGTCATGTCGCACTCGTCGCATTTCTGGCTGATATCCCCGAAATTCATTTCAGGACGGTTCAGGATGAGCG